ATAAAGATAAAGATAAAGATAAAGATAAAGATAAAGATAAAGATAAAAATGAAGATGAAGATGAAGATGAAGATGAAGATGAAGATGAAGATGGAGATGGGATAAAAATAAAATTTAATATGAAAATGAAGATGGAGATAAAAAAAATTTAAGGGGAAGGCAAAGATTATTATTTAAAAAAAATTTTTAGTATGAAACGAGCCTGAAATGAATCAAATGAAGTTTCATTTCCGTAGTGCTGCCCAAACGCACCACGCTTTGTTAGATTTCTTAATTTTTTCAGAACTGTGGAAAACAAATTTTCTCCCAACTGGCTTACAGTTTTTGATTGGCTTAATTTTTCAAATTTTCGCTTACAACAAAAAGATATAAAATGGAATCGAAAAATCCCATCTGAGTGCTAAAAAATTTAAATTTATTTGCACTTCTGTATGTAAACGTGCTTCCGCGTTTATGTTGCATTTTTAAAGATGTATATCTGTGTTAGACATACATAAGCAAATACCCATGATTGGTAATTTAATTCGCTTGAAATGTATTCCTTCCGAAAACGAAAAAATAGTTTTCACCAAATTGAATTTGGCAGCCTGATATTGAATGCATCACGCTGATTGCATTTCCCAATCTCCGAATATCGATTACGGCAACAAGCTTACTTAACTGGAATTTAAAGCGTTTGCAATGCAAAATGCAAATCCAAATTATACTGGCGGAAAGCAGAGAGCAGTATAATTTAGGAAAATATGAAGCAACTTTGATTAAAGTAAAGGTTGGTGAGGCGTATGAGTAACTTTTTCCAGACAGCAACCCCACCAATTTAAAGATGCGCATACGCCTAGTTGAACTTTGCTATTTCTAATGAAATCAACACATTTTCAGTTTCAATGCAAGGCAGCTACATAAATACGTACGTATGTACATATGTATGTGTATTTGCCAATACAGGCATATAAATTTCTAGTTCAACGCGTACTTTGTCCTTGATTGTTTGAGACAGCATTGAAATTGAGGCAGAGAAAGCAAACGGATTTTAAAATGATGAAAAGCAAAGATGGAGAGAGCGGGTGCACACCGCCGTAGGTCGACGACTATGCTGTGAAGATGTCAACGCAAATGGCAAATGCGGCTTTGAAAGCGGGCAACAGCTGCATTTGTCATAAATAAAAGATGAATGCCAAGCGCTGCTGCTAAAGCGATAACTACGATGCCAGCGGCGGCGGCGGCGACAGCGACCTCGTAAAATAACTTTCCACACGAAAGATACACAAACATAAGCTTGCAAAGTAGCTTTGCTCTGGCAGCAGCACCACTAAGGCAGCAAAAGCGTACTACTTATATGCGACAAAATGGCCAAAACGGAAACTGACAATCTCAGAATAGCCCGCAGCGTTGTTGACAACGAGCAAACACTTGTGAATGGCTATGCTTGCGTGAAAAGGAATGAGATAGAGTTGACATTGGGTTGGATAGACGGGCGTGCAGACAAGGTTGGTGTTGTTGGACACTAAAATGAATTATTACCTGCACAGCTGGTTGCTAAAGTGAGCGGCTGCATGGCTTGCCGACTAATTGACTTTCCTACTGGCAAACTGGCTGAACTCCCCCTTTTTGTGGGTCCTTACATTCATGAAAGACTGTCATATGCAAACACTTGCGTATCCGTGTGTTTTGAAAGCGGCCACCAATTGCTCATGTTTATGCAGCGCTTCCGTTTGCTTTTGCTTAACATACAAAACATGAAGCTGAAAAAGCAAAAAATATTCGAAAACTACATAAATATGAGCTCAGGCCGTTAAGCAAACACAGCTGCAGTAGTGCCTTGAATTGGCTGGTGCAAGCGAATTTATACATATATGCACATTAGGGTGGTCCAAAAATGCATGTCAAAAAGTAAGGTCGAAATTTTAATGCTCTCAGCCTCTATAATTGTTCTGTATCGAAAAATACTCCGGTTTTCTTCAGACGGGCTCCAATAATAATACCCAATTGTTTATTTAGTCATTTTTTCATAGTAACTATATTTTATAGGTCCGCCAAAAACCCCAGAAAAAGCAAGAAAGGGGCGACCCATAAAAAATTTTTAGTATTAAAAAATGGTTTTATAAATAATTGAGTATTATTATTGGAAGGCATCTGAAGAGAACCAAAATTTTCTGATCGATAAATACGAAAAGCTGTTTTTTCCCCATATAAAATTTTGAATGGGATTTTTTGATTTCAAAATAAAAAAATAGGGAGCATTAAAATTCCGACTTAAATTTTTTTTTTTTTACCACCCTAATGTACTTAAATTTAACCCAGTTAACTACATTAGCAAATTTTTTTCCATATGCAGGGTTTATTAAAGCGACATTATACATTTGTTGTATATTTTCTTATTTTTTATGTTCTTGCAACTAAAACGGTGGTCTGATGTACCCACCCCAGTTCATGGCATGTAAGATGTGTCCTTTCCCAGCTCAATCTGGTAATTCGTGAGCTTTTCAAATGCCCTATCATTCCGGTTTTTCGGCAACCATATGAGTTAGGTTATGTTAAATTAGGCTGAGGTTTACAGTTATTGCCGTTCCGCTTTAAACAACTTGGTTTTTGGCAAGAAAGTGCATAAGCTCCTAATATTCATAAATAGCTTTGAAGTAATCGATATCATCGAAGTAGTAGTACATAACTACCAAAAGTTTTTGCTCGCCATTTTGCTTGAGCCTGGCAATGGCAGATAAGGTGTTGAATGGTTTCCTCTTCGCCCTCATCCATGCAGCTACTGCTGTAATCGTTCCAGAGGTGCGACCAGTCTGCCTGCATGTAATCCAATCAGGCAATGTCCATGAATTTTTCATTCAGTAGAAGTTTATCCCATATACTTATCTATAGTCTGAAGTGTTGGCTTTTTCTTGTATTTTTCTATTTGGTTTGATTATAAAGAAAATCTAAACTTTCCACATTGCATTTGATCTCACCAAGCCAGGTGTCGGACATCGAACAGCAACCGCGCCGCGGCCTCCTATGAATTTAACAAATATTTCTATAATATTATTCTTAAATTTATGAAAAGCCTCCTTGAATTTATCAAAAATAATATCTTCCTAATTTCCTATGAAAAGTAGTCCATATTATTTATTACATAGAATTGTGCCAGTATGACGATCACCGTAGCTGAATAGATACATAGATCTTTGAACTGCGAGATGTCAAACAGTTGATTCCGAATTCGGCAAAAGGCTCGCGAATTAATTAATTTCTTACTATTTTGTTAATACGATTTTCCGATCTTATTTATTATTATTTTTTTCTCCGCACGCCAGTGTGCTTTTCTATCTCTTTTCAATAATAGTAACTTGTATTTGTTAACATGGCGACGTGCTAGGAAATATCATTTGCCAGGCTATTATACATCATTAGCAACCAGTAGAAATACTACTGGCGTCATACTAGTTGACTGGGTAGGTTGCCAATACATTACCCTTTAAAGGAATTAGTAATAGACTTCACAAGGTGTGGTATACTGTCGTATGTATCACGATATGAGTGCCACACGAAAGAGATTGTGGTTTGAGTATACTTTTAACAGGGTTGCCACCCGTTTACAAAGTTAAATTCAATGTATACTATAGGTTAAATAAATTAGTTCAATATGGATATCGATCAAACTGGATTTGAATAAACTAAACTACATGTAGGAGAGTTGCCACCTGTTTTAAAAATTAAATTTAACTTGCATTAATTGAATAAAATAATTTAAATATATACGAAAATATTTGTCTCAGAGGAAAGGGGTTTAACAAGATTTTCGATTTAAAAATTTGTTAACAGGGTGGCCACCTGTTAGAAAACCCGAATTGCATTAAAGTACACATAAGTTATACACAAATTATATGAGTGTTAAGAAATCTTTAGCTTGAACATCTAGAATATTAAAGAGGGTGGCCACCTTTTTAGAAAGTAAAAATCTAGTTATTTAATATGTTAAAGGAATTACTTATTAAAAGATGGGTATCAATGGAAATGATTTTAAAAAGGCTTTATTTCTTTATTAAATCAAATTCAACTTAACTCATCAGGTAACTGTAATACATAAGTATCCAATATCAGACGCAAGAGATTTACTTATATCTAAGCTATATGTAGGAGTGTTGCCACTTGTTTGAAAAGTCGAATTTAGCTAAGTTATACACGAAGACGAAAACAAATCGAAGACGAGCACGAACACGAAGCCAAACAAGAAGACGGGACTTAGGACAAAATTAAAAGTACATAATACAAATTTCAACGGCATTAAACGAAATAAAAATGTATCGAAGTAGTGACAGATGGCGCTGATCAAATATTAAGTCATAGAAGATGTACGCCATCGCATATTTATGAATATTTCATCGACTATTTTAACTTGAATGTGGCTCTGACATAGCCCGCGAGTCAATACGAAGGCGCAGGTTCATTATAATAAGCGCCGCTTTTTTTCTTTTTTGAGTGTTTTTTGTGGAGAGAGAATTCCATTTGAGTATTGAAACTGCAGTTTTTTATGTTCTTAACCATAAAAGTCGGTAGAGTAATATAATATATATATTATATTTGTAGATAAGGGCATCGAATGCTAAAATAGCAGCAGCTTCCTTATAAGCTAATCCTTTAATTCCTGTTATCTTATTAAACACGACAAAAGTAACTCGTTTTATTTGCCAAAGATTTCGAAATGACCTCCTTCTCACACTATCATATTTCCACTTCTTCATTATTGTTGGAACATTTTTCATACCAAATACAACATTACCAATACAACTATGCCTGGTAATAAATTTCACTTTTTGCATATTTGAATCACAAAGCCCATTGGTATTTTAAATTACAGTTTTCCTGTTGGCAAAACGTAAAAGCAGCTTATATAAGTATTAGTGAGCAGCTATTCAAAGCGCGTGGAAAGTCAAGGCAACAGCATGCAGACTTTTCACTACTTTTTTCAATACAGTTTTTTTACTACAATTTTTCTCACTTCCTTACCATTTTAAGCGCGCTAGCTTTTCTTTCCCTTGCCACTTTTTATGTCGCACAAAATGGGAATTTACTGCCGCGCTGCTTGGCATTGTGAAAAAAATTGTTAAAATGAACTTCCTTCCCGAGACAGTCTTAACAAAGGATTCAACCTTTTGCACATTTCTCTTTTAGCGCACAACTGCAGCAAGAGATTTAGTATTAATATGCAAGACAAAGAAAAAGGAAGTCGGTACAATAAGGCTAATTAAGTCAGCAGGTGATTTTTTAATGAAACGCTGCCGCCACGCTTGTAAGCATAAATAATTAAATTTTAAATGACTTACATTTTACGACTTTAACAGCTTTGTATGCAACACTTTTGCCATAAAAAAATATTTCTTTTATTACTTTCCTTCATAATTTTTCATAGTTTACACAATTTTTGATGTGTAAACATCTTAGCTCTCGGTATGGGTAAAATTTGCGTTTCACCCAGCAGAAAATCTGTAATTTCGTGTTGTATGTACAAATGAACGTTTCCAAACTAGTTCGAGATCATTTCGGGTCTAGTTCACGACTAGTTTAGGACCATTTCGGGCCTAGCTCAGAATCATTTCCCGATCTTTTCGGAACCTGTTCAAGACGATTTTGAGACTAGTTCAGGGTCATTTTGGGACTAGTTCGGGACCGTTTCAAGACTTATTCTATATCATTTCGGGACAAGTTCAGAACTATTTTGCGACCATCTTGAGACTAGATCAGTATAATTTTTGAACCAACAAAGACCATTTCGCGACCATTCGAGGACTTGGTCGAGATCATTTCGAAACTAGTTCACGATTTTTCGGGACTACTTAGTTCGTGATAATTTCGAGATTTCTTCAGTACCATTTCAAGACAATTTCAGACTATTTTGGGCCTTTAACGACTAGTTAGGGCGATTTTGGGATTGGTTCAGGATCATTTTGGGACTAGTTCATAGCAATTTCGGGTTTAGTTTGGCATAATTATGGGACTATTTTAAGACCTGTTCGAGATCATTCCTGGACAATCTCACGAATTTTTCAAAACCATTTTGGTACTAATTTAGGACAATTATGTCTCTCGTTTATGATGATTTCGGGATAGTTCGAAACTAGTCACGAAATCATCCTGAAACTGTCCTGAACTAATCCTAAAGTAGTTATGAAATAGTCGTGTACTAGTAGCGACAAAATGAATAAAAAGAAATGAAGTTAATATTTAATTTCTGACTTAACCAATTTATGTATGTAACTAAATCGCCGGGTGCTTTTCCAAGCCGCCGTACACATATATTTACACATCAAATTTAATGAATACTCACACCTTTTTTTAATTTCTTTACAGCTGCACTGTTGTCCTATTCAATGCCAAGCGTCAAACACAGGCCTACCTGGTCAACACCTCCCGCAAAGCTTTCACATCGGTCGCATTTTCGCGCTGCGGCCGCTATGTCGCCACCGGCGAGTGTGGCATCAATCCCGCCATCAAAGTATGGGAGCTGGACTCGCCGAATGGCAATCTCGAGCACACCACCGGCGGCAATGTGGTTGCGGAATTTTTCGATCACAAATACGCTGTCACATGTGTGGTAAGTCAAACGCTTGCAAATGTGCAAACATATTTTCCTCCTCTTTTTCCATTTTCATGCAAACGCTCCTCTCCCACTCTCTTTTGCAGGCCTTCTCACCCACCGGCAAGTACCTGGTCTCCATTGGTTCACAACACGATATGATTGTGAATGTATTCGATTGGAAATTGAATCAAAAAATGGCCTCGAATAAAATCAGCTCAAAAGTGTCGGCACTAAGTTTCGCCGAAGATGGCAGCTACTTTGTTACAGTGGGCAATCGTCATGTCAAGTACTGGTATATGGAGGGAGGCCGCAGGGTATGTGTAAGCTCGCTCAACCAACTACTCGCTTTCATTTACTAATTATTTTTTCTTCCAACCATTCTTTCAGTACAAGGATCCCATACCGTTGATGGGACGCAGTGCCATATTGGGTGATTTGCGCGACAATGATTTTTGTGCGGTCGCCTGCGGCAAGGATGAAATGAAAGATCGCACATATGCCATCACCCGGCAGGGTCATTTGGTGGAGTTCAGTTCACGCCGTTTGCTGGACAAGTGGGTGCAATGTCGCACAACGAGTGCCAATTGTTTAACGGTGAATTCACGTTTCATACTCGTCGGTTGTGCCGAAGCCATTATACGCATTTTTAATGCCGCCACACTGGAATATGTGACGACATTGCCGCGCACACATTATTTGGGGGTGGACGTGGCGCAAGGTATACATATCAATCATATAATGGCTGTGCCACCGCATGCCAAATACCCGGACTGTGTGGCAATGGTGTACGATGAGCAGCGAGCGAAGGTGAGTTTTCGCGCGAGTGGATATTTTAAGCTGAAATTATCGGTGCTGTAGCCCTGGTGGAAATTTGTGTAGCATTAAGCTCAGCGTGCATTTCCTTCTGGGTTATACCACATACAGTATTGCAGTAGGTAGTTTCTAGAGAACCACTGACATACCTTATTCAAAGACGAGGCAACACCAATTGCAATAAATATTATCGTTATCGATACTCTAAACTACTTGCCTACATATCTAAACAATAAACTCAATATATCGCGAGCGTTTTCATCTAACAACCCTCGTAACACTCCATTTCCTAGACGTTTTTCTCAAAACCGAGTTCTTCGAGGTACCAAACACTCTGCAAAGCATTTCCTGTGATCAGTTCCGCCCTCAATGCCGATATTCCGCTATAAAATTGGCTGGAGAATAACGCTAACCAAGAGACTAATAAAAAATGTAGGATAGCACGACAAATCTATCCTAAATTAGATAGAGAAAAATCTAGCTCACTTCTTAAAAGTAATAAATATTTCAAGGGGAATCTGCTAAAAACACATCATTCACATCATATCCATCGACAAAGTGCCCAGGTTTTGCCTGTTTGTTAAGAAATATCCAAAAAATGTTTTAAAAATTCCACCGATTTCAAATCGTACGAATTGCATATTATCTATTGGTGAGGGCCCGCCTACTTCCGTTCCATCACTACTTTCTTGAATGTCTGGCTGAACTTAGTCCTATGAGTATATAACTTTCTTACCTTCATCAAAATAACGAACTGGCTTAACTTCTAGGGAAAGGAATGGTATAAGTAGACTCAATTACTGTATCTGTAGCGATTTATGGCGGCCCAAAATATGTCTCCTTCCCACGTTGGATGAGGCCAGCTACGATAACCTAACTTACCCTCCACATTAGGACCTACCATCTGTATACGATTCATCATCATGCAGAGTTGGTACTGTAGGTGCCCGATTTGAAGGATATATGCATACATTTTTGAGGTTATACTATATTACTATATAGTATAAGTATGTATGTCTGCAGAGCCCAGCCGATTAAAAAGCATTTTCTTATAGAAACGAATCGGTTAGAAAATTAGCAAATGGTGATGAGTCTCAGTTGGCCTAAATAGGGACCGCAGCCTTAGCCTAACCTGACTCCGATCTTGCTTGAAGTCAATCGCCTTAGTTAGCCGCAGCTTGATTTTTGTGAAGAAGCTTTTCCTCCCACTAAAAATCATCGACCAATCCAATGATAGTCGACTCGATGCCTATGAGATAGTCAGTTTTATATAAGATGGTGGTCAAAAATTTCAATAGCATTTCATGTATAAAGTATATAGAAGCATTAATGTATCCTTAATATTTAAATGTTATTTCAGGTTAAAAAAAAATCTTATTTTAGAAACCTTCAGAAACTCACTTTCCTTTAACCTTGAGTATAAAATTAATCACAGTTTATTTTTACCACCCCACAGGTCAGTTGCGTGTACAACGATCACTCGCTCTACATCTGGGACATGCGGGATATCAAGCGTGTGGGTAAATCGCACTCCTTTCTCTATCATTCCACCTGCATTTGGGGCGTGGAAACTGTGCCATACAACTTGGAGCGTGAGCTATCGGATACACTGCCTGAAGAGTCGTTTGTGACGTGCTCCTCGGATGACACCATACGCGTGTGGGGCCTTGACGGCTGTACCAATACTGAAAACTATCGCAGAAATATCTACTCCAAGGAACTATTGAAAATTATGTACATCGATGAGGAAATGAATTTTATAAAGGATCAAGATTTATCGGGCGATAAGAACTCAAATACTGCTTATGATGGACGCAATGGCGTACGCTGTATACGAATTAGTCCGGAGTTGCAGCATTTGGCCAGCGGCGATCGGTGTGGCAATATAAGAATCTATAATTTGGCAAACACCAAGCTAATCATAACAATCGAGGCGCACGAATCGGAAGTGCTATGTCTCGAGTATTCGAATGAGAAGATCGAACGAAAGTTGTTGGCGAGCGCAAGTCGCGATCGACTAATACATGTGTTCGACGTGTCGCAGGATTATTTACTGCTACAGACGTTGGACGATCATTCTTCGTCCATAACATCGATAAAGTTTGTAGGATCGGGACTCAATTTCCAGATGATTTCCTGTGGTGCGGACAAGTCGATTATGTTCAGAACGTTTCAGGTGAGTGCTGAAAAAATTATATTATTATGACACATTTTAGATAATTTTATTTTTCTCGTCTTCACTGCGCGCAGGGCAACATCTTCTTGCGCGGCACAAACACCTCCGGCAAGACGACGCTGTACGACATGGAGGTCGATTCCAATTCCAAGCACATACTCACCGCCTGCCAGGACCGCAACATACGCGTCTACGGCACACAGAATGCCAAACACACAAAAACCTTTAAGGGCTCCCATTCGGACGAAGGCAGCTTGATTAAGCTCAGCCTAGATCCCAGCGGCATTTATGTGGCCACCTCGTGCACAGACAAAACGCTCGCAGTCTACGATTACTACTCGAATGAGTGCATGGCGCGCATGTATGGCCACAGTGAGCTCGTCACTGGCCTCAAATTCACCAATGATTGCCGCCATCTAATCTCTGCCAGCGGTGATGGCTGCATTTTCGTGTGGCAGGTGCCGCATGATATGATTGTCACCATGCAAGCGCGTCTCTCACAACAGCGACTACGTTCCGGCCATGCGCCACTTCCAGCCCGACCTGGTTCAATTATCGCCACACCAGAGGGCATCATTATCGAATCGCCAACACACGAAATGGAAGAGTCGGCAACACCACAAAAATTCACTGCATCACCGTCCATGTTCACCGACGAGCTAGCGCTGACGCCGGGCTACAAATTCTCTGACGTTGGTCAACTGCCGCAGTGGGCGAAGCGCAAGGCCGTGGTCAATGCAGATGAGCCGAGTAATGGTGGTGGGGTTGCCATACCCGGTTCGACGGTATCTGCCATGCAATCTGCCTCGTCCACCTCCAATTTAAGCTCCTCACCCAGTCAGTTGGGTGTTGGTGGCGTACCGCGTGCGCGCGGCCGTTGGGCGCAACGTGGCCCATTTGACCCTGACGACCTGCGTTCGAATTCAGAAAGTCCACTGGGTACTGTGTCATCGAGCGGCGGCGGTGGCGGCGGCGGTGGCGGTGTTGGTGTTGGTAGCGGCATCGTTGGCGGCGTCGGCGGCGGAGTTGGCTTGAGTAGTGGCGGTATAGGCAATACGCAAACGTCCGACTATAACAGCGCGTCCTCCAAGGATATAATGTACAACCAGACTTACCTCAGTGAAGATTCGTCCATAGACTCGGGTATGGAGACGCGGCGGGAGTTGAAGTTTATTGGCAGCAATAATACCGGTACAGTGCCAATAGCGACTGGCAGTAATGGTGGCACAACGGCAAATCGGTTGGTGCCGGAAAAGCGCAAGCCTGGCCTTCGTTTTGATCCACAATCCAATGAGCATGATGGTGATGTGGAAGACATCTCCGATGGTGAGCGCACCAGTTCGGATCACGGCATGTTCTACAACAACATATCGCCCAGCACGCCAACGTAAGTGGACACACGCGCTTTGAATAATTTGAAAATTGAACTTAACTCATTTTATCCTCTGCTTTTGTAGCGACTTCAAAGTCACCGCCATGAATGAGGATGAGCTGCGCAAGTCGATGCGTCGACAGAAATTCGAGAAGACCGGCCTAACGCTACCCGGCAATGGCAGCACACACACAGCCAGCACTGGCACCGGCACAGGCACCTCCGACACTGAAGACGAAGGCTCTACACCGAGCGCAGAGAATGCCGAACGTTCGCTGGCGTCTACTTTGGGCGGCAGCTCGGAGAGTATACCAGCAACGACAAGCAGTTTCTTGCAGGCCGCTCTGCCAGAAGGTCCCGGCAGCATGCTGGAGCGTGGCAGCACAAGTAAGTCGCTTGGGTAAAGCAAAGCAATGGAGAACTTGCTCTAATGTATTATACACTTTACAGATCGACGCAGTATTAGTGCCAAACACAACACTGAAAACGGCAAGCCTGTGCCCGCTACGCCCACCATAACCAAATCGTTCACCAGCACGAAAAAGGACGAGCTACTAAAGGTGATCAGCGAAGTGAAGCAACAGCTAGAAAATGTAAGTTTTCCCATTAAATTGTATATCCGCATTCTTTTAGCAATGCTAATCGCATTTGTGAGCGTTTTATTTTCACATAAATCTTTTTATTTGTCTCGTCCCTAATCCTGTGTCTGTATCTCTTAATTGACACACAACATATGACCACAAAAAAAAAAAAAAAAAAAATTACTATTCCTGTTTGGTGATTGTATTTGTTTGACGGGTGGTACACGACGTTTTGTGCTTAGGGCGCACGTAAAAATG